CTTAGCCCTGGAATAACTTTGGTACTTGTTATATCTAGAATGTTGCTTGTGAGAAAAAGGTCAAGAATGTGAGGTTGTGTGAGGGACCAGCGCCATCGGAACGTGTAATGTTTAGTGTTCGCGTTGGATTACTGTTTGCGAGAGTGAGTGAGTATTCGTATCATTGAGATAGCTACTGAATTGACGTCCGTTTGTGTGAAAAATAAGTGGGGGCCACAAGGTCAGTGTGTTTGGGGTCATGAGTGGACAATGGAATATGGAGCTCAATGATATGGATGGAATTCTGGTGTGAATATATATTGGAGCTGAATGTGGGTGGAGTGTGTATGGTGTGTGCAGGGGGTTTTGGGGAAGAATGTGTAAGGGAGGGCAGTCTGCGTAATGCGAATTGGTGTGTAGAAGGTTTTGGATAGTGTAATGCGAGAAATATGAACAAGCCACTGTTGAAGGACGTAGAGGAAGACAATATCTATCAGTGTGGAGAAGCGAGACGGTGCAGATCCTGACAAACAAAGGGATACAAAGGAACAGTTTGAGACCCATAGTTTTTGGTATCTGACAATACTGGACGTCAAATTGTGTGGGTAAAGAGGCCCTCATGAAATAGGAAGTGCCAGAGTGAGTATATCTTGGGTGGGGTACAGGGAGGTGGCACTGTACATTGAGCTACGGACAAAATTTGCCTCGAGTACTGCCAATGGGGCCACAACTCATGGACCTGTCAGTAGGATGCTCGTGTGGGTTCTGCGGTAAGAAACGCGACTCCAGAATCTGCAGAGCCAAGATTGGAAAGGGGAAAGGATTAAGCCTTGCTGTTAGTGCAGAGGCTTACACAATTCTGGGTCTCTAGGATGCAGGGCAAGACCTTATGGTTTCATCATAGTTTCTTGGCAAGGAATCGCTAAAAGATAAAAGGGTATTCTCATTTCCAGAGCGACTCCGCGTGCGACAAACCATGCCCCTTTGTGTTCCGGCCGCGGTCTGTGGCAGCGACGGAATCACCTACAATAACGAGTGCCTTCTGGAGATCGCCATGTGCAGAGATGCAACACTGTTCAAGGAGTACGACGGGGAATGTGGTATGCACTGCTGCTTTGTGTTTAAGGCTGTTTTTTCTGTTATTAGTTGAAGTAGTCTTGGCTATTTTCATTTGACAATTTAGTTTTTTTATTCCAGTATTTTAAGTTATCAGGTCCCAACACATTAAATTTTCCTTTGTACGTTATTTCATTGTTAGTTATTTCCCAATTCCGTTTGAAAAACTGGCATTCTTCGTAATTACTCAACCAGTTTGACATTGGTATTTAACAGATGTACTGTTACTCAGTATATTGTCACATGGGGTGAAGATGAAGCCCCTGTAATTGAATTTTGAAAAAAATATATATTTTTCTTCTTCAGTTGTGTATCGACATTAAATCAAACATAGTGGTTGGCCAACTGCATACCTTCCCATTAAATATTGGTCTACTGAATGGGCAACAGCTACACTTGAGTTAAGGAGTATTTAATGAACCTTTATTTCACTACTTAGTGCAATTTTCCTATCGTTATTGCTTCTGCTTAGACCACGCCCACTGCCATCACCACCCTTATTACTTCTATTTGTTTATTCAAGAGTTATGGACAATAATGATACACCCCCAATTACCAACAGAAGACATAGACATCTGCGACAGACCTTGTCCCAAGTGATACAACCTGTCTGTGGCAGCGACGGAATCACCTATGACAACGACTGCCTTCTGGACGTCGCCATTTGCCGAGACTCAACACTCTTCAAGGATCATGATGGGCCATGCGGTATGTGGTGTTTTGTTTTTCGTTTCTTATTCCAATTGAAGATTTAGGTGATGCCTTTTTAATATATGGTTGGTTGGTATGATTAGATGATTTAATGAAGCTGAGCTATTGTAATGCTTCTGAAGTTGATATTCAGCAAGCGGAGGGTGGTTTGGTTATCACAAGGTGATGGTCTAAGAGTGGGAAGGGTTGAATGCAGAGAGGAAGAGATGGAACAGAGAAAGAAGAAGGATAAGGGGAGGAGGAAGTATTAGAAGGAAAGGAAGAGGAGAGGTAAAAGAAACGTATTTGGTGTTGTGGTAGGAATGAAGCAAGGAGAGGGGAAGGGAGGGTAGGGAAGAGTAAGGTAAGGCTGATGTTGGAAGATGAAGTGTGCGAAATTAGTGCAGGGTCCAAGTATCCATGGAGGGCCTGGAGCAGTGGGATACGGAGGTCAATGATAAAGATGGAATTCTGGTGTGAGGATATATTGGAGATGTGGGTGGTGTGTAGATTTTTTTTTTTTTTTTTTTTTTTTTTTTTTGAAAATGTGTAAGGCAGGGCAGTCTAAGTATTGGGATTGGGTGTGTGGAAGGATTTGGATAGTGATGGGAGGAGAAATGAAAAACCAGCCACTGTTGGAGGAAGGTAGTGGGAGACCTAATCTGTGTGGACAGGCGAGGCGGAGCAGATCCTGACCTGCAAAAGTTATGATTGTCCCAAAGGCTTGTGAATAGCTATCAGTATCTGATGATACTGGAACCAGACTTTATTGGACGACGTCAAATTTGTGTGGGTAAAGAGGCATGCAGCTTTGGGCGAGGAGCATTGCCCTCATGAAATAGGAAGTGCCAAAGAGAGTATATCTTGGGTGGAGTACAGGGAGTACATTGAGCTACGAGTCATTCACCTCAAGTGCTGCCAATGGACCACAATCATGGACCAGTCAGCAGGATGCTAAGTGTTTCTGCGGTAAGAAACGCGGAATGCAGACCAAGATTGTTATTGCAGAGGCCTGCACAATGTTGGATTTCTAGCCTGCAGGGCAAGACCTTAAATAAAGATCGACTCCGTGGTTTCCTGGCAATGTATCGCAAAAAGAAAAAAAGGGCTGGCCACCACGCAGGGAAAGGAATTCATCCATGAGAGTAAATGGGGATGTGTAGTTGTGCAGATAAATGGATAAGAATACTTCAGATGAAAGAAGAGTATTTTCATTTCCAGGTCGACTTCCGCGGTGCGACAAACCATGCCCCTTTGTGTTCCGGCCGGTCTGTGGCAGCGACGGAATCACCTACAATAACGAGTGCCTTCTGGAGATCGCCATGTGCAGAGATCTAACACTGTTCAAGGATTACGACGGGGAATGTGGTATGCACTGCTGCTTTGATTTTGTTTAAGGGGTGTTTTTCTATTATTAGTTGAAGCAGTCGTGGCTATTTTCATTTAACAAATCAATTCACATTTGATATATTCCCCTAAGTATCGAAGAAAATTCTCGGATAACACTGACCAATGGTTATTTTTCCATGGCATTTCTTATAAATATCACGTAGTTTATTCTTTCTTTCTTATTCCAGTATTTTAAGTCATTAGGTCCCAACACATTAGATTTCCCTTTGTACCTTATTTCATTGTTAGTCATTTCCCGATTCCGCTTGAGAAACTAGCATTCCCAGTCCATACTTGGCCAGTTTCGACATTGTCATTTAAAAGCTGTATTTAACATGTATTGTCACATGGGAGGCAAGATGAGGCCTCTTGAATTGAATATTAGCAATTTTTTATCAACTTTGCTCGACTTTAAATCGATAGCATTGGCCAACGACATCCCTTCCCGTTATAGATAGGTCTCTAGCATGCAGCTACACTTGAGTTAAGGACTATTTAAGAAACCTTTATTTCTACTACTTAGTGCAATTATTGCTTCCGCTTGGGCCACGCCTACCGCCATCACCACCGTTATTACTTGTTTGTATTATTCAAGAGTTATGGACAATAACAATACACCCCTAATTATCAACAGAAGACCTAGACATCTGTGACAGACCTTGTCCCCTTCTGCTGCAACCTGTCTGCGGCAGCGACGGAATCACCTATGACAACGACTGCCTTCTGGACGTCGCCATTTGCCGAGACCCAACACTCTTCAAGGATCATGATGGGGCATGCGGTATGTTTTGTTTAATTCTTCCTTAATTCTTTCAGTACTCCTTTCTCGACTCTGTTATTAATCTTCCTCCTCCTTTCTCGACTGTCATTACTCCTTCACCTCCTACCTCTGTCATTACTCCTTATTTCCTCACCTAACACTCACTGTATCTCCTCTTCTCCCTCACTCCCTCTTTATCTCCTCTCCTCTCCTGTGCTGTCCCTTACTAATATGACGGGTGTCAATAAAGGAGTGTTTGTGGTGTGGACCTAGACCAAACCTGGGGAAGTATGCCACGCTGCAGGTTCGGTGTCTGCTACACTACTACTCTCCTGCGCTGTCCTACACTACTCCTCTCCTATCTTGTCCTCTCATCTTATCCCTCTCTTTTCTCCCTTTCGCTCAACGGCAAGCTATTAGTCGTAGCCCACCACCTTTAACCCAAGTGTGGCAGTGATGGAGTGACTTACCAGAATGACTGCGTGCTGGCGATGGTGGAGTGTGGAGACCCGTTTTTTTAATGGATATTTTAGATTTTTTTTTCTAAATCTTTTTTGTTTTTGTTTTTGTTGCTATCAATTGATGAATTAATAAATGCTTTGTTCATTCATTAGTTTGCTTGCACTTGTGGATAGGAAGGGACTAGAGTAATCAACAAGTCTGTATTTTTCATATGCAGTCAGGACATTTAAATTGATTGGGAATCGATACTGTAATACTGGTTTGAAAAGAAGATAGATATATAAGCTTATGTTCTACAAATGTTATTTCTGTATCATTTCATAATCTAACTTTTTCACTCACAGAATGAAGCTGTTGGTGAAGGTGAATACCACAAAAATGTAGTGATTATGCTGTAACGGCTATTTCATTGCAATAAAGGTCGCAATAAATGTTTGTTTGTTATCCCATACAGTCTAACATCTGCATTCATGATAGAACTGTTGATTACCAAGTATATGCTTTTGAAACCTCATTTCTGTGTTAAAAAGGATACAAAATGAAAACTAGATATTCTACACAAACGAGCAGAAAACCTATGAATAAAGTAAATGGTATTGGTATCTGGAAAGAAATTAAATTAAACTATTAACAAACAATAGCCACTGAGTTACAAAGACATCGATCCTCCACTTCCAAGTTCATCATTAAATGTCAAGGGAGTTTCTTGAATTTCGAAACACGTACCGGTATTAAGTAGAGGCAGTGCGTTCCGGATACAAGTCGAAAATGGCGGGTCGCTTCGAACAGTACTGAACTTCCGCTTATTGATTCAATTATAACGATGCCTGTGCTGAATAGTTCACATTACAATACCAATGTTGAATGGGTCACTTAACCACCACCTTCCTCCTCTCTCTCATTATTCCTCCTCCTGCCTTAGAAAGATCCGAGTTTTTTCTTTCTTATTCCAGTATTTGAAGTCATCAGGTCATATCATGTTTGTTCAAATCTTTTTTCTGCATTAGTTCATTGTTAGTGGTTTCCTAATTCCACTTGGAAAAACAGACATTCCTAGTACATACTCCGCCAGTTTCGACATTGGCATTAATAGATATATTGTTACTCAGTGTATTGTCAAATGAAGGGACGATGAGGCCTTTGTAATTGAATTTTGGAAGGATTTTTTTTATTGACTTTAGATTGAACATAGCATTGGAAACGTAATACCATTCCGTTAAATATTGGTCTCACTGAATGGGCGACAACTACACTGAGTAAGGACTATCTAATGAACCTTTATTTCTACTACTTAGTGCAATTTTACTACTGTTATTGCTTCTGCTTAGACCACGCCTACCGCCATCACCACCCTTATTCTATTTGTATTATTCAAGAGCTATGGACAATAACGATACACCCCTAATTATCAACAGGAGACGTAGACAACTGCGACAGACCTTGTCCCCTTCTGCTACAACCTGTCTGCGGCAGCGACGGAATCACCTACGACAACGACTGCCTTCTGGCCGTCGCCGTTTGCCGAGACCGGTCGCTCTTCAAGGATCATGATGGGGCATGCGGTATGTGGTGTTTTGTTTTACGTTTTTCCGACCGAAGATTTAGATGCCTTTTTTAATATATGGATGGTTGGTATGATTAGATGATTGGGTGAAGCTGAGCTATTTTATTTGTAATGCTTCTGAAGTTGATATTTGTGTGCAGAGGGGGGTTTGGTTATCACGAAGTCATGGTCTAAGAGTGGGAGGGGTTGAATATGTGATGCGGAGAAGGAAAGAGGTGGGGGAGGAAATGAGAGAAGGGTAAGGGGAGGAGGGAGTACAAGAAAAGGAAGAGGAGAGGTAAAAGAAAAGTAGGAGGGGTTGTGGTAGTAGGAATGAAATAAGGAGAGGGGGGAGGGAGGGTAGGGAAGAGTAAGGTAAGGCTGACGTTGGAAGATGAAGTGTGCGAAATTAGTGCAGGTCCAAGTGTCCATGGAGGGCCTGGAGCAGTGGGATATGGAGGTCAATGATAAAGACAGAATTCTGGTGTGAGGATATATTAGAGATGAGTGTGGGTGGTGTGTGTACGGGCTTTGGGGGAAGAAAGTGTAGGGGAGGGCAGTCTATGTAATGGGAATGGGGTGCGTTGAAGGCTTTGGATAGCATGATGGGAGAAGATACGAACAACGAATCACTGTTGAAGGAAGGTAGAGGGAGACCTTATCTAACGGTGTGGACAGGCGAGGCGGAGCAGATCCTGACAAACAATGGGATACAAAGGAACAGTCATGACTGTCCCAAAGGCTTGTGAATAGCTTTCAGTATACGATGATACTGGACCCAGACTGTTGAACAATGCCAAATTTATGTAGGTAAAGAGGCATGCAGCTTTGGGCGAGGAGCATTGCCCTCATGAAATAGGAAGTGCCAGAGAGAGTATATCGGGTGGAGTACAGGGAGGTGGCACTGTACATTGAGTTACAACTCATTTGCCTCAAGTGCTGCCAATGGACACAAATCACGGACTCGGTGTCTGCGGTAAGAAACGCGACTCCAGACTCTGCAGAGCCCAGATTGAAAAGGGGAAGGGATTAAGCCTTGCTGTTAGTGCAGAGGCCTGCACAATGCCGTCTCTCTAGCATGCAGGGCAAGACCTTAAATAAAGATCGACTCCACGGTTTCCTAGCAAGGTATCGCAAAAAGAAAAAAAGGAAAGGTGCTTAGCTATGCTCTGATATATCGGTCAATTCATTCATGAGAGTTGAGGGGGATGGAGTACTTGTGCAGATAATAATGGATAAGAATACTTCAGATGAAAGAAGAGTATTTTCATTTCCAGGTCGACTTCCGCGGTGCGACAAACCATGCCCCTTTGTGTTCCGGCCGGTCTGTGGCAGCGACGGAAGCACCTACAATAACGAGTGCCTTCTGGAGATCGCCATGTGCAGAGATGCAACACTGTTCAAGGAGTACGACGGAGAATGTGGTATGCACTGCTGCTTTGTGTTTAAGGGTGTTTCTTCTATATTAGTTGTGAAGCAGTCGTGGCGATTTTCATTTAATAAATTAATTCACATTTGATATATTCCCCTAAGTATCGAAGAAAACTCTCGGATAACATTGACCAATGGTCAAACTTCCAGGGCATTTCTTACAAATATCTTCAAGGTAGTTTTTTTTTTTATTATTATTCATCTAAAGTCATCAGGTCCCAACACGTTTTCAATCTTTTTTTTCTGTGTTAGTTCATTGTTCGGCATTTCCCAATTTCTAGTACATACTCGGCCACTTTCGACATTGGCATTTAAGAGCTGTATTGCTACTCAGCGTGTAATGGGAGCAAGATGAGGGCCTTCGAATTGAATGTTAAGATTTTTTTATCAACTTTGGTCAACTTTAAATCCAACGACATCACTGCCCGTTAAAGATAGGTCTCTAGCATGCAGCTACACCCGAGTTGAGGACTATCTAATGAACCTTTATTTCTACTACTTAGCGCAATTTTCCTACTGTTATTGCCTCCGCTTAGACCACGCCTACCGCCATCACCACCGTTATTATTATTTATTTATTTTGTATTATTCAAGAGTTATGGACAATAATGATACACCCCTCATTATCAACAGGAAACTTAGACTTCTGTGACTGGCTTTGTCCCCTTCTGCTACAACCTGTCTGCGGCAGCGACGGAATCACCTACGACAACGACTGCCTTCTGGACGTCGCCATTTGCCGAGACCCAACACTCTTCAAGGATCATGATGGGGCATGCGGTATGTTTTGTGTTTAATTCTTCCTCAATCCTTTTCCCTTGTTAGAGTCGAATTTTTGGCAGCAAGACATTTGAAGATTTCTCGAAAAAAATATTGAAAAAAATCTTGGTTTACAAGATATCTGATATGTGGCGTTTTTCCCTTTTATATTCTCTCCTATCATTATTTTACACCTACGCCGTGCGTTCGGTACAAAATGTTTGCCAAGTCCCAGTTCTCTTTAAGAAAAAAACATGTGATGGGGAATGAGGCAGAGACGGAATGCAAGGCAGACAGACAGACAGTATATCAGTCAGTCAGGGAGACGCATAGACACACTTCAAACCAGATATATAGCTATATTTACTCTACTCTTTGCTTACACTTTCTCCCTTTCTTCTTCCCCCGTCCCCCATTTCTCTTCTCATTTCTTTTTTCTGCTTCCTTTGATTATATTCTCTATTCTTCTCTCCCCCTTTTCCCTTCTCCTCCGTTCATTTCTCTTTCCCCATTTTCCCTTCTCCATGTTGTTTTTTTTTCTCCCTCTTTTTTCCTCATTTTCTTCTCCCCTCTTCCCTCCCGCATTTTCTCTCTCTCACCCCCTTTCTCTCTTTTTCACTCTCCTCGCCATTTCTCTTTCTCTTCTGCCCTTCCCCATTTTCACTCTCCCTCTCTACTCCCCACCTCTCTTTGTCCGCCGTCATTACGCCACCTCCTTCTTGTCATTCCTCTCCTTCGCCTGTCACATTCCTTCTCCTTTCACCTCTGTCCAGTATCTTATCTGCTCATCTAACACTCACTCCGTATCTCTCTTCTCCCTCATTCCTTCTTTATTCCTCTCCTCTCCTGTGCTGTCCTTATTACTACTCTCCTGTGCTTTCCTTCATACTCTCGCTTGTCTCTCACTCTTCCTCTCCTCTCTCTTATCCTCCCTCCTCCTCTCATCTTATCCTCCCTCCTCCTCTCTCCTTTATCCTCATCACTCGTCTCTCTCTCTTATCCTCACTCGTCCTCTCCTCCTCTTATCCCTCACTCGTCCTCTCCTCTCCTCTTATCCTCACTCTCCTCTCCTCTCCTCTTATCCCTCACCGTCCTCTCTCTCCTCTTATCCCTCTTTTCTTCTCTTCCCTCAACGGCATGCAATTACCCTTGCCCCACCACCTTTAACCCCGTGTGTGGTAGTGAAGGAGTGACCTACCAGAATGACTGTGATGGCGGAGTGTGGAGACCCGCTTTTTTATTGAAACATCTAGATTTTTTCTTATAAATCTTATTCATTTCTGCGTCTTTTGTTGCTATCAATTAATTGATAAATACATAAATTTGTTCATTTATTATTGTTTGCGTGCGAATGTAGATATGAAGGGACTAGAGTAATCAACAATTCTGCATTTTTCATATGCAGTCAGGACATATAAGTTGATTGAGAATTGATACTGTAATACTGGTTTGAAAAGAAGATAGATATATAAGCTAATGTCTACAAATTTATTTATTCATTTCATAATAAAACTTTTTTTCACTCACAGAATGAGGCTGTTGGTGAAGGTGAATACCACAAAAATGTAGTGATTATGCTGTAACGGCTATTTCATTGCAATAAATGTCGCAATAAATGTTTTGTTTATCCATACAGTCTAACATCTAACATTCATGATAGAACTGTTGATTACAAGTATATGATTTTATATTGTTTCAACTATTTAGTCCAGTCCACTCAATGGGTAAACCTGTTATGACCATTATTTTTATACCCATCTATTTTTGCTAAATCAATCTGCATAAAGCATTTGTAACTTGTATCTTGGATATATCAGTTTATATATATATATATATATATATATATATATATATATTATATATATATATAT